ATGCTGAGGGCCGCAACTTAACTGTGGTTGCATATACATGCAAATAGCTTCTTTCACACTGACCAGCATGAATATGATTAAGGCAAGACTACACAACATGCAGGCCCCATTTAAGTCAGTTCTGCTGATGATAATACAATGCAATATTTACCTGAGTTCCACCCATATGACTGCACTTTTAATAAGCAATGTGCAAAATAAAATATATTAAAGACACCTGTGACTAGTTGCTGTGAGGTACCCTTACAGACTACAAAGGTGCCGTACAAAGGTAGGGAATTAGCCTTCTTCCACTGGAGGAAAGTAGAAGCCCCAAAACAAATTAACACATGGCTTCAAGGTTTGTAGACATTTGCATGTTTCTGAGAGCTTGCAAATAAGTCCTGCAGCACCTTAGTACTATTCACTGTTCTTTTTAGCTACAGACTCTCACAGCTACTCCTCTGAAACTGTTAATTGCTTAAGAAAGAAAAGATTCTTTTAACACCTATATGCAGACTTTGTAATGCATCAGAGGGGTAGCCATGTTAGGCTGACTCTGCATAAACAACGAGAAGTAAGCTTATGCTCCAACAAATCTGTTAGCCTATAAGGTGCCACAGGACTTCTGGTTGTTTTTGTTTGAAATGTAATCATGCAGATGTCCTCCCAGCACAACCCCCACTCCCCCCAGCTTCCCCCGCTCCTCCAAACCAGCCTAACTGAGTCAGTGAGTCAGATGCCCCAAACTGCCCTCTGACTCCCACCTCACTGCACGGATGCCAGCACTCCCTCTTTCCTCCACCTACCCCATGCAGTCAGCCCCTTTACCTCACCCCTGCTGGGTCTCTGCCTCTCTCTCCTCCGCAGATGGGATTTTCCCCCAAGCCAATTAATCATAGAATCATAGGACTGGAAGGGACCTCGAGAGATCATTGAGTCCAGCCCCCTGCCCTCAAGGCAGGACCAAGCTCCGTCTGCACCATCCCTGACAGATGTCTATCTAACCTGTTCTTAAATATCTCCAGAGAGGGAGATTCCACCACCTCCCTTGGCAATTTATTCCAATATTTGACCACCCTGACAGGAATTTTTTCCTAATGTCCAATCTAAACCTCCCTTGCTGCACTTTAAGCCCATTACTCCTTGTCCTGTCCTCAAAAACCAAGAGGAACAAATTTTCTCCTTCCTCCTTGTGACACCCTTTTAGATATTTGAAAACCGCTATCATGTCCCCCCTTAATCTTCTTTTTTCCAAACTAAACAAGCCCAGTTCATGAAGCCTGGCTTCATAGGTCATGTTCTCTAGACCTTTAATCGTTCTTGACTTCCTCCTCCCAGCCACTCATTCCCTGCTTATCTGCTGATTGTGCAGGCAGCATTTAGCTGCTGATTACAAAGGCCTGTCCCCCCCGGGATCAGCTGATCCCGCTGCCTGCTGGGGGAGACCAAGCAGTTTAAAGGGAACTTTAGTGCAAAGGCCCAAGGGCCCCCTCCTGCGTGTGCAGGGTCCTCAGTCCCAGTGCTACCTCCTGTTACCTGCTGCTGGCCTGCCCATCCAGCTAAGCCCAACCTGCTGCCTGACCCGGGGACCAACCTAGGGAGCGTGGCTCTTACCCTGGTGGCGGTGCTCCTCCATGTGTAGCTTGGGGCGGAAGAGGAGTTTGCTTCACCTCCCTTTGCAGCCTCACGGCTGCGGCCAACCACCAGGCTGCAGCGGCAGCGGGTTCCTCTCTGCATGGAGGAGGGTTGGTGAGCGCCTGCTGCGGACCCACTTTGAGACCCACTGCTCACAAACGGGCTGCATGTTGAGTAGCCCTGCTGTAGACATTGTTCAACTTAAATGTTCCACTTAGATGCTCTTGCGTAGCACAGAATAGAAATGACAGAAGAGCTGAATACATGCCAATTTTTAGATACCAATTTCTACAACAAAAATGTTTCTTAACATTGAATTTGAAACAAGTGCTTACACACCGCTGTTGCTTTTGCAACTCATTACATTAGAATCATTTAGATTACATGCGGTGTTCCTCCAGTTGGAGGATACCTAGGCACATGCATCAATCCTTGTGCAGTTTTTTTCTGTATACATAATACACTATAATGGGTTGCACTGTCATTCAAGACTACTAAAAGAGCAAAAGAGCAGAAAAGCTGTTGACACTGGCAATAAGGAACATGTAAAAGAGAAACAGAAGGAAATCAGAGCATGGATAAAGGAAAGATTTTATAAGATAAGGTTTAGTTGAAAATAATGAGCTTTGCCTTGGTTAAAAAGACAGCTGCAACGTAATTCAGTAGCCTCGTGCACTGAGGTTAAAGTTGACCTAGAATTTACGTTTCATTGCTTTTTATAAATAAATAGTGGAGGAAAGATTTGGCAAAAAGAAACACACACATAGCCCCGTCCTTTTTCGGAAAAGTGGTTCATGTTAACAAGTTCCCTGACTGTTTACTTTGTCCTGTGTGCTCACTAGTGGGGTAGCTCTCCTGCCCTTCAACCGAGTGAATATTCAAATAAACCAAGCACTTTCTACACAGCTAGTTTTTTTCCCCTGCCATCTGTGTGTTACCAAAATATCCCCGAAGAATTAGCAAAGGCTTGGACTCTAGAGTGAGCTATGTAAAACTATTGAATGGTCTTGCAAGCCTATCAAACCTTCATTTGGTGCATTTTCCAACATAATTCAGAAGACTCCCCTTAAACAATTTTTAAAAATGTAATACCCATGGAAACATCAATAAATAAGTAGGGATGTTAAATATCGGTTAATTGAATAGTTGATTAACCTCATGAATTCTTAATGGTCATTCGACTATTCTGTAGTCCCCAGGGGTAGCCATTGTGCTCTAGCCCCACTCCTGAGGAGACCCCTGCCACTCTGCGCGGCTGCCTCTATAGTGGAGGCAGCAGCGTGGGGTGAGAGGTGGGAGCTGGTCCGCGAGGGGAGCCAGTTTAAAAACCAGTTTCCCTGGCAGACTGGCTGCCTGGCACCCTGAGCTGCTGCCTCTGATTCAGAGGTGAGTTCTACTGACTTCAGTAGTGTTCCTCACAGTGTATAAAGCACGTGATTTTGTAGTATTCTTAAGTCAGTGGAATTTATCACAATGTCTGAAGTTAAACGTATGTAAGTCTTTACAGGGGTAGGCCTTAATTAAGTTGGGTAGAAATGGCCTGTTAATTGTATTCCTAGTATAGTCCGTTAATGGAATTAAACTTCACTTGTTAGTTCATTAACTTTTAAAGAAACTAGTTTATGAATGAAGGACTCTAATTTATGTTGTGCAAACTAGGGATATTAAATATGTGCAGTTTAGCTAAATGTTGATCTCATGACTTTGTTTAGCATTTGTTTATTATTATCCTTACTTATTTGTGGTCTACTTTTTCAGCTCCATATATTAGACTGTTGTAAGGGGTACCACAAAATTCTTTTGAGTTTAAAAGGCTTCCATAGCCAAATAAAATTGGGAAACACTGGACTATATTATTACACCCCTATAACTAAGTTGCCTCTAGGAAACATGAAGTGTTTTTACTTTAAAGGTCTCTAATTTTGTCCTGTTCATCTTTAAGCTTTAAAAAAGTGAAAATAACAGTACTGCTTTCCATTTTTTAAATTGAAATAATTGTGTCTCGTATCACATGTTGGAGCTCATAATTTTCTGAGCAGTTTACTATAGATCAGCAGAGCCCATGATCCAACCTATACATCAGACATACATTTCTTAAAGAATCTGTTGCATGTTTTCAAGACCTGTTTTCTTACATACATGAGGTAACTTGTAAAGTATGTATTTAAATATCAAGGGAGGCATTAAGATGAAAAAGTCTACAAGAGGAATGACAATGTGTAGTCAATGATACAATTAATCGATAAGCCTAGGTTTATTGGTTAATCTTGTTGACTACACGCATTTCCACTCCCCTTGCTGCCTCTGTATTAGAGGCAGCACAGGGGGCAGGAGAGGCTGCCCTGAAGCAGGCCC